TTCCGTGTACACGTAGTGGATTTGATTGTATTATAGAAAGTATAAGTTCTGATTTGGAGTTAAATTATTTTAATTCATTCCCTAATTCTTGCAATTCGTTCGATCACTGATTTGTAATCTATTTTGTCTAAAACTACCGACACGTGACCCAACGTTTATATCCATCCTGTTTAAGGTTGTTCGAATTGTTGTCTGCCCTGCTCATTATTCCGTACTTCATAAATCATTTGACTGATATTTTGAAGGTTTTTTTTTTACTGCGCTATCTCAAATTTTATCTCTGACATCGTTGTTTTGACTGTCTATGCTATCAGTCGAAATTCTTTTATTTGACTTTAATTTCATAATAGAATGATGTCTTTGATGCAAAGATACATTCTAAAGAATTCTGTAATTAATTGACTCATTAAAAACAGAATTCGTCTTCTGTAATGAACTTCCCTCAAGAAATTGTCTTTGTGAAAATAATTATTTAGCCTTTCTTTTTTTTACTGCCACAGTTTAATATCAGTGTTCTTATGAAGAAATTTGCACTTTTGCTCGTTATCAACTAAAGGATTATTAAATTTCACCGATAAGGTCTATCTATTCAACTTGTTATTATAACTTTCCAAATTCTGAATGAGGTATTGTACCTCGGCATTGAAGTTGTGAATAAATTGTTCCAAGTTCATTTTTTTCTTGTTATATTTACGTATTTTCGATTGTCATAGTCATTCTCATTATGGGTTTATCAGTATGTTAAGCAAGATTTATTTTACTCAATTCTGGCTTCTTATATTGATGGAATTAGAACTGGAATTCAAAGTAAAGTATATCATTTGTAACGGTTTAACGGAAAATCTTATATGGACTATCATCTATATATGTTCTTTATTTTGTTTATTTACACTTCAATAGACAATCTCCTACAGAAAAAAGATATTTTATTTGCTGTTATTAGTTGTTTCTTATGTATTATAGTAGCATCTAGAATTATGAGATTTTCTTTTAAATGATTCCTGTATATTTTGGAAATTGAAAAGATATAATAACGAGTCGAATAGACAGGCATTGTCGGTTGAATTTAGGATTTTCATCTGCTCATCTGAATGTCAAATCCTTTTTCTCTCATTATGCGTCCGAGCAATTCCAATTGTCTCTTTCTGACTGTTAGCATTGTTTGTTGTTTTAACTTTTTTAATTTTCTGTTCTTCTTACAACTTACCAATTTGTTACATTTTTGCTTAAATTGCTCCAAATCCATTTCCTTATACGATTGCTATAAGAGATCAGACATTACATAGCAGTCCAGCTCCCTTTTCTTTGTTTCTAATGACATTTACCGATCCCTTAGTACCTTATTCAAACAAAAAAAATGGATGCATTCCGACGCTGTTTTCGCCATAATTTTTCAAAATTTCATTATATTCAACTCACTCCTGTGACCGCAACATTTTGACAAGTGACGTGTTTTTTACAAGCAATTATTATGTCATCTTAAAATGACATCTTTATATTTTATTTATTTTCTTTGTGCTCGATCGTTACTCTGCAGATTTTTGAAAATATCTTGTCTAGCTTCGATGCTCTCTAAGTTAGAACCAAAAACTATCATTCTTCCTTTCAGAACCTTGATGCGTATGGAATTGTATGTTTTTATTCTAACTAGACCACCTGGTGTTTTTGACTCGTTTACGTTAATTAGTTAACCTGCGCGGCTGGCTTCTATTAAAGTCATATATAACTCTCTGGTATATTATTAATTAAAAAACTTGCAATACATCCATTCCAAACAACAAAAATATTAATAATAAAATTCTGTATTCGACAAATCATGTTATGTCTGTTCAACAGATTAAATATAATATTGTTCAATGTTTTCAAAATCTGAAAGATTGTTTCATAATGCAACATTAGTTTCAAACATTAAAATATACAACCATATGGGCTTATATTTTTAAGTTTGGGGATTTTTATCAATGAAAATAAGTCTTTAAATACATACTTTTATTTATAAATCTTTTCTGAGTTTTTTTGTTGTATTTTTTTGTTGTTTTTTTCGCAAAATATTTCCCTTCGCTTGCTCTCTTGTTTATTGTCGGTTTTATTCTGGGCCAAATGCTGAGATCAATGCTGCTACTCGAGTTAAGACTATTAGCATAATTAACATTTTCCTAACCATTCTCTTGGTTATTACTGATGCGAACATACATACATGTATTGTTTATCTAGAAAATGATATTCAGTAAAGCCTTGAATTAATGTATGATTACTTTTATCGGATATTAAATACACCAATTCTTCTTAAAATGTTTTTTTTTTGTGTACAGTAATATACTAGCCTGTGTGTGTAGCTCCTAATTTTCACTTCCATTGAAAGTGACAATTATTTCATGATATTAAACTGAGACGATGGGATATCAAGCCGGGAGGATGTGCGGTCAGTCTTACGGATATCAGCACGAAAATTGAAATCGGCGAGTCGAGTTTAAATTCTAGCCTTCAGCGTTCACGTTGGTATAAATACCCTTGGGAAAAGGCATGAATCCGTCTCTTTTATCCCCTACTAAAGGTTAAATAGCAGGATAGATGACGTTTTCTAGCCTTTGATGGCAACCTATCTGAAAGAAGGATAACTGAATTCCAAATTGTAGAGAAGACAACTAAAAACCACTCTTTCCCAAGAATTCATGGCATTTCGCAAATAATAAAGAAACGCAATCTGTGGACATGGCATTTTAAAAATGCTATAGATGATATTCTACAATGTCTGCAATTGATATTTTCCACAATAATAATCCATTCATTAACGACATGAGACAATGTCCGTTGAATTCATTAAATAAGAAAAAAAAACATAATAGATAAAAGCAGAAATTCAATTATATTTTTTTATTCTTGAAGGAATTACATTTCATCGACTAAGATTATGAAACAAAATCTTTTACTATTTGTGAAATCCTGTATTTTTAAAAGATCAAAGGTGAAGGAAGTGTAAAACCCGGTTGGGGCTCGTAATGATTTCTTTTCCCGTTTACAAAAAATCGTTTTCTTCCTTTCTTCAAGGAGAATTCACGCACGAAAAGTTTCATTTTCTTAGACTCTGTTTATTTCTCTCGCGCGCTTTTAGTGAGGCGCAGTAATAAAATCAGTATTTGATTTGTGTACGTGCATGCGATGCTAAACATGGCGGCCTGAAGGAATGAAAATCTCGCTAGGCAATGGAGATTCTCAAGAGATTTACAACATATTTATGTCTTTCTCTTTGTCGATACACTGTAATATCAATGAAAATATCAAAACTCGAAAGTCAGTAAATGGTTAAGACAGTTATATCCGCTATAAACAGGTATATGAGCAAGAAATTATTCAGGCTGACGTTACATTCGGGTCCATAACAGCAGAAAGCAATAAAATTAGCATTACAAACTGAGATACTTTCAGCTATGATTATAGACAGAATATTATTGATAGGTAAGTGACTACATAATCATTGAGCTCACAGTTCTGCCTTCGTTTGTTTTCAGTTGATTGTCAGCCTATTTATTGATATTTTGGGTGTCACTGGTTATACTCAAGAATCGGAAATGTGGCTCTCAATCACCATTGTATCCGATGCAATGATAAGTATTTCTCTTTAATACCAAGTTCTTAATTATTATACATTTAATGTTTTTTTACTTAATGTTCCTTCTTCTTTGGATAACAAAAGTAGTCATGAGAAAAGGAAGACCCAGTCTTGTTACCATCTTCCTGAATATGATATTTCTTATATTTTGTCCCGTGCATTCAGAATGAGAATAACTGCAAGTAATGATTCATCATATATATTTGGAATAATCATATGCCAGTGGCGCCATATTTAACCCACGTAAATTATGAGCGCTTTCTACTAAGTACAAATGTTCAAAGTTCGTCCAATGTCAACTTTGAGTGTACATATGGACAAATAAATGTTTATTAATGAAAGCCTGATGTTATGCGGCCATACATGTCGACTGTTTTTTACTTGACTCTTAATTTTCTAGCAATAAATTGTTGCACTTTATCAGCAACTATAGTTTCAGGCCAATCAACATAGTTGTCAGCAAGATATTTGATTTTCTTTATCAATATTAGACGCTGATGACAATTTTATTTTTCATTTTACCTAGTTAGTCAACAGGGAATATTTGATCATTTTTAGAGTTTGTTTGACTCAAAGCCTTTTTCTTCTCTATGTTTCTTTTTTGTTTTTGTTTTTTGTTTTTAATCTGTATACACTTGAATCCATTATTGAAACAATTTGTAATTGATTGCACGTAAATAAAATTATCGCAAGCTAACAACAGATAACAGATCTACTTGTTCTACAGGGGTTAAAACCGTTAAGATAATATGATTGCATCGGTTTATAAAATTTCATTAACGTTCATAAATATCAATGTAGTAACATTCGCTGAAATGGAAATTATGACAAGTTGTTGCCAATGAAATTTAATGAAATATACAAATAATAAATTGTTTCTTTAAAAGAGATTTATGAGGGCTCTTTAAAGTTAAAGGCATGAAATAAGATGATGAAAATGTAATTCTAATGTAGATTGCTGTAAACCTACTGAATAATTGGAAATTATCGTTCGTTACGAATATTAGATGTCAGATACTTTTTTTTTCTTGAGATAAGATTCATTGAATGTTTTGTCAATAATTTTTTCTGGATGTTTAAATACAATGTAAAGCAACAAAAACAGAAAACTAGATCTCTTTTTATTATAAGTGTACGAAAAATATTCCCCCAAAATAGTAATGTTTTATGCAAAATATTACTATTAAAAACTAACAGTAACGAACACAAACATTATAATACACACAAATAAATAAATATGTGCGTAGGTAGACATGAATCTGGAAAAATATCCAGATTAAAATTTATGGATTCTAGCAAATAACTATATTTTTCATATTTATCTCTGGTTCAGTAATTTTCAGAAATTTATTCTTACAAATAATTTTCTTCCTTTTTTTTATCTTTTCAG